GCGGGCCATTGTCTGGGGCTGGCGCTGCCCCGAGGAGGGGGCAGACGAGGGGTCGGGCCATTGTGTGCGATGCCGTGCGCAGTCTTCCAGCACGAGTCAGACTGAGCCAGGGACCCAGGAGGCTCTGGGTAAGGGGTTRGGAGGCACTGGCTGTGTGGGCGGCAGGAGGCTGGGTGGGAAGAGGCGGGAGGACGCCGGGGGGAACCCCCTGGTGCCCACATACAGTAGGCACTCAACGCACATAAGTTGATTTGACTCGCTGGTGATCATAGAAAGAAGGCAGGCCAGGGGAAGCGCTGTGGGTCTGAGGAAGGGGAGCCAGGAAGCAGATGTTCCCCAAGTCTGCGCTCTGTGGAGGGCTGCCCCTGAGGCTGGGGAGGCGCACCAGGGGGATCTGAACCTACCAGGTCATCGGTGAGACCCGGAGTGGCTTTGGTCCTGACTCCAGGARCCCTCCCCTCAGTGAGGCGCCCCTGCTCTGCAGGGAGACCTGGGGTTGGTTGAAGTTCCCAGGTAGCTGGGGTAGGGTGGGAAGCAATCCCTCCCGCCTCTGCTCTGGGCAATGAAGCCTGGCAGGAAAGGGCTATGGTCGCCTGTGGTCTAAGGCTGTGGAGGAGGAGTCTGGGGAGGAGCTGGACCCTGGCAGGCCTGGTGGGGGGGTTGAACTCGGCATTGTCACGCTGGGGTTCCCCAGGTGGGGCTGCAGGCCTTGTGAAGCAATAAGGGGGGAAGCCCTAGATTGGGGTCATGGACATGGTATAGCCCCTACAGCTTGTCCCCTGAACACCTAACCCACTGCCACCCCACCTGACCTGCTGCCCCAGAGTGCTTCCCCTCTCCGGCCTCAKTTTCCTCATTTGTACAGGGAGGGCGGAGGTGGGGACCTGCTGGCTCTGAGCTTCCTGTGGGCAGGACCTGCTGCATGATTTGTGCAGCCAAATGTGTGCGAAGTGAAAATGTGGGTCCCCTGTTCAGAAATCACTAAGACTTTCAAAACAGCATCRGGCCAGGCGTGGGCCCTTCTGAGCCAGGGACGGATGACTGTGCTGGTCATGCATCCCTGACGCTGGCCTTGGCCGTGGGCTCTGCCGGCTGCAACCTGTGAGACTTTGAATCTGACTTCAGAGGCTCCGGTGGGAGGGGTGCGCTGCTGGGGACAGAGTGCCCCTCCTTCCCACTGGGCTGTCTGCCAGAACTAGACCCCAAGGCCCTTGTGAAGGCAGGGGGGGGGTGATGGTGGGGAGGCAAGGAGGTGTGCTGGCCTCTCTTTAGGCAGGTTTCTGTTCTCTCTGAATCAGRAATCACCCTGGAGATACTGTGCTTTAGCTAAGATAGAGCTTGCTATCTCCGACCCCCCCACACTTACCTTCTCCTTCCCAGGGGCTCTGAACTGAGTTTCCTTGGGGGGAGGGGGATGAGGGGGGAGGGGGTGGACTGAGGGAGCAGGGCTCCAGGGAGACGGTAAAGCTTAGGAATTAGCAGCTTCTGAATGAAGTAGAGCTGAATTTAACTTGGCTTCTAGTTATGTCACCTCCTTGGTCCTCACTTTTCATCCCTCTAAAATGGGATTGTGTTAGATTATTGGTGATGTGTGCCTCGCATGCACGAGCCCATGGGTGGGTTTGATCTCCAGAACTGCAAAATAAATAAATAAAACAAATTAAAAAATAAAAATAAAATGGGATTGTGACCAGGCAYGGGGGTACTCATCTGTAACCTAGCAACTCTGGAAGCCGAGGCAGGAAGATTGCAAGTTCAAGGCCAGCCTGGGCAACTTAGTGAGACCCTGCCTCAAAAAAAAAAAAAAAAAAAACTGCTGGATATATAGCTCAGTCGTAAAGCAGCCCTGGATTCAGTCCCCAGTACTGCAAGAATAAATAATAGAATAAAATGGGATTGTGGTGGCAGTGACCTGCTGAAATGGCTGGCAGGACCCAGAAGTCAACAGTACCACTCTCCAAGTGGGATGGAGGGGCTGGGGAGAGGAGGTCTGGTTTGAAGGGGAATCCTGGGTCTTGCAAGGAGGAAGCAGTACAGGGTATTGGGTCTTCCACCCCCAGAGAGGCGGGAATAAGGCACCAGACGGGGAGGAGTGTGGCTGGGAGGAGTGTGGCAGGGAGGAGTGTGGCACTGGAACTCCCCGCCTCTGGTTCCCCATCAGATCTCCTCCCGGTGACCCAGATAAGCTAATCTGCTCAAATGGAGAAGGCCTTGGGGCAGGTTGGCTTCCCAAATCTGAGCTGGGGGGGTCAAGGAGCCTTTGCAAATGCGGTCAGGAGAATGGAAGTTTCCTTTGATTGTGAGAGCCTGGCAGAGATCTGGCAATCAGCCTACAAGAGACTTTGCAGGAGTCTTATGCAAGTCTGACAGAAAGGATGGTCAGGAGGGGTCTGTGTGAAACTAAGCCCTGGGGAACTGAGAGATGATGGGAGCAGGAAGAGAAGAAAGATGGCCAAGTGGGGTCTGACAGGGAATTTTAAGAAGTAGTGGGCCATATCCCCGTCCTTGTCGACTGGCGCTGTGGCAAGAGGGATGGGAGTTAAACTACAGGAAGGACTTCCTGGTAGTGAGGAATGTGCACTTAAGATGGAGGTGGGTTATTTATTGGAGTTGGACTGRCCGTGGGACATCTGTGCTCTTTAACCTGTAGTCAGCTGACCTGGCTGAGTGGGCAGGAGCCTCTTCACTTTATAGGCCACAGTGCCTCATTAACCCTGCATTATGAGGTCCCCCTGGAGTCTTTACGGAGGAATGAACAGCCACCATTAGGGGCTGGGTGCCTCAGAAGCGTATTTCATTAAACATGAGCTCAGACGGGAAATTTCCTGGGCCTCCCACTGGCCCAATGCTTCCGGAGAACGATGGCGATTACATTACAGGAGGGACTTCCTCACCAGAGTCGGGAATAAGAGCCTAATACAATTGTTTGCATCTTTTAAAGATTGTGGGCTTGCTGGTCAATGGTGGTACACRCCTRTAATCCCAGAAACTCGGGAGGCTGAGGCAGGAGGATCTCAATTGCTAGGCAATTCTGGACAACTTAGCAAGACCCTATCTCAAAATAAAAAAGGGACTGGGGAGCCCGGCATGGTGGCACATGCCTGTAATCCCAGGAGCTCAGGAAACTGAGGCAGGAGGATCATGAGTTCAAAGCCAGGCTCAGCAACTTAGTGAGGCCCTAAGCAACTGAGCGAGACCCTGTCTCTAAAGAAAATATTTTAAAAGGGATGGGGATATGGCTTAGTTAGTGGTTAAGCATCCCTGGGTTCAATACCGGTAACCCCCCCCCAAAAAAAAAATGGACTGGGGATGTAGCTCAGTGGAAGAGTGCTCCTGTGTTCAATCAGGAATAAATAAATAAATAAATAGAATAAAAAATAGTGGCTCAACCAAAAGTGGGAGTTTGAAGGTCAGACTGCTATAGGGACTTCCCAGTGTGTAGGTGTGGTAAGGCCCCCACCATATGGGTAAGTGAAAAGAGGAATATGAAAGACCATGACACCACGTCTCCTATCTGAGAAATCTTGGGCAGGAGAAACCACAGCTGGGCTGGTTAGACTGGCTGGATAGAGAGGCAGGAGAATCACTGAAGTGACCCAGAAGGGCCTTTTCAACTTTCTGGATAGATTGAGGCAAGAGGCAGGCGGGCGGAAGGGAGGGAGAGAGGTGTGTCTCCTGGGAGGCCGGGAGGTTTTCTTTTTCCCCTCCCAACCCACTGACTTCCGCCCAAGCCAGGATCTGTCACAACTCGAGGTGGAAATTCTGGTTTCCCTGGCCAGGACTCCTGCGCTGGCTGGCTTTGGGACGATGGGTGCCTGGAGGACCGTGCTCCCACTCCAGCCGGGCTGAGCCTTCTTCCCCCTGCCTCTGGGGCCTGGGGACCTCCTCCTTCTTTCTCTGACTCTGCCACTGGGGGTCCCCGCTGTGGCTGGTCCAAGGGGATGTGAGGTGAGAGGGGCGACCGGGATCTTGGGGGAGTGTGCAGCAGAGCCCCAGGGAGGCCCCAACAGGAGCAGAGAGACAAGACAGAAAGGGGACAGCTGCAGAGTCTGGGACGACACCGCCACCCAGGCCTCCCCTCAGGAAATACTGGTAGCCAAGCTGGCTGATGGACTGGCATCACCTCCCTGGAGATGAGGGCCAGGTGGGCCTCGGAGTCAGAGACCCTGAGCCCCCTGGGGCTGGGGGAGCCGTGAGAGCAGGCCGACTCAGACGGGTGCCTGCCTGGGTCCAGGGTGAGTACGGGGCACCGAGTGTCAACAGATCTAGAGGTGATGGGAGAGTCAAGTCCAAAGAATCTATATTTTGAGTATAGGAACTTGCTCCCCAGAAAGTCCCCTGCCTAGGGCAAGCAATGATTTGGAGAGGGGAAGACTAGGAAGAAAAGACACAAAGACTTCCCCGAGAATAAGGTCAGAATTGTTGAAGCAGCCAGGCGCGGTGGCCCATGCCTGTAATCCCAGCAGCTCGGGAGGCTGAGGCAGGAGGATCGAGAGTTCAAAGCCAGTAGTGAGCAATTTAGTGAGGCCCTAAGCAACTCAGTGAGACCCTTTCTCTAGATTATATGTGTGTATGTGTGTGTGTGTGTGTGTGTGTGTGTGTAATATATAATTATTTTTTTAAGGGCTGGGCATGTGGCTCAGTGGTTAAGCACCCCTGGGTTCAATGCCTGGTGCCAAAAAAAAAAAAAAAAAAAAAAATTAGAGCAGGGCTACAGGTGGGAAGGACCAGGGTGGAGAGTGCCAGAGCCCCTACCTTGGGGGCAAGCTAAACCGCAAGCTGAGTGCGATGGAAGCGAGACGAGACTGAGGCCATTTCAGATGGGGAACTGTGCCCTCCCCTGTACCCTCCCCGTCCCCCCCMCACACACACTACACACACTTCTGCTGCCTGGGGCCCTGCGATTGGTCCTCAGTGAGGATGTGGTAAGAACTGGTCATCCAGAAAGTGCCCTGGTGCCTGTTTCTTCAGAGCCATCTGGTGATAGCTTCTGGCTGAGCATGGCCCTCCCAGCCCTGGGCCTGGACCCCTGGAGCCTCCTGGGTCTCTTCTTCTTTCAACTGCTGTTGCTGCTGCTGTCGCCGCTGACTGCAGAGAGTGGTGGGCAGGGACCTATGCCCAGGGTCAAATATTATGCAGGTAAGTGTCAGATGGGGAACACGAACTGGGGGGAGAGGAGGAAGGGGAGAGGGGGAAAATAGATATGAAGAAACAGGGTGCCAGGCAAGTGTTAGGCAACCACCGTGTGTGTGTGTGTGTGTGTGTGTGTGTGTGTGTGTGTTGAACCTGAGCCTTGTGCATGCTAGAAGAGCCCTCTGCCACTGAGCTACATCCCCAGTCCAAGAAACAGAGAGGCGGAGGACCTGGGTGAAAGAGAGACAGTCAGAAATAGAAATTCAAACCGAGAAGCCACCTACCTGAGCTACAGATTCAGGGAACGGGCCAGAGGGGCCCCAGGTTCTCCAGGGCACCGCCTCTTTCATTTCAGCAAAGTGGGTGATTTCTTTTTTCCTTCCTTAAATGTCACCTTAAATCTGGGGCACCTTAAATCCCTAACTGCTTTCACGCCCCCAAGTGCCCCAAAGTCCAGGCCCATGCTGGAGGATCATCTGCAGATCTGGTGACCCAGGGCATACCAGGCGCAGGTGGAGATCATGCTGGACCATTCCCTGTCCATAGACACCAGGAGTGTGACCACTGGGAAGTGGCCCCTGGACCCCTGCAGGCACAGCTCGGCTGGTTTTCTACTGAGGCTGTGGAGATGCTGGTTCTTTTATCTCTAGGGAGAGGGTTCAGGGAAAGACATGGCCCCTGTAGGACTCCTAGGGGCAGGTCTCCCGGGCACAGCTGTGACTTTCACATCTTTCTGGGGCCACCTGGTAAAGGAAATGTAGTTGCCTGTTTTTGTTGTTGATTTGGCCCTGGGACTTGAACCCAGGGGGGGTTTACCACAAAGTCACATCCCAACCCTTTTTTTAATTTTTTATTTTGAGGCAGGGTCTCACTAAGCTGCTTAGGTCTTGCTCAGTTGCTGAGGCTGGCTTTGAACTTGCAATCCTCCTGCCTCCGCCTCCTGAGTCTCTGGGATTACGGGCGTGGGCCACTGTGCCTGACTTTAGTGCCACCGATGGAGAGGCCTCCTCTGGGTAGCCCTTCTCTCACGGAGCTCAGCCTCAGAGCGGGTGGGGGAGTAGAATGAGCAGACACTGGTGATGGTCAGTTTGGTAACTGAGGGGGTGTGCACGGTTCTGGGGGAGGCCTGGGCTTCCTTAGTTGTCAGATACCCTGAGCCTGCAAAGGTAACAGGAGCCAGGCAGCCCTCTCGTGCTAAGATGTGTGTTGAGAGAGGAATTGAAGAGCTCCTTTCTCCATGGCTGATGGGCTCATGGGACATACACACACACCACCACCACCACCACCACCACCACCATCACGCTGTACTGGGGCAATGTACAGGACCTAAATGAGCCTCCCACAAACAGAAGCCCAGATGACATTCAGGTGTGGCCACCCAGACCTCAGAAGGGGAGAAAACATGTCTCCTCTCTGCACAATTTCTGGTGGTGGAAATTTCCTGTCATAGAGGAGGGGAAGGAGGTGGGTTAGTGGTGGAGGTGTCAAGAGGGACTCTTCCCCCCTCCCTCGACACTGTCCTGTCTGTCCCTCCCTTTCCTGTTTGTGGCTGGAAACACCTTTCTACCTGTCCCTGGGACTGCTGAGCCCCTCCCAGTGGGGATCCAGGTGCCCTTCCCGCGGCAGCCCCCCGAGTCCTGAAAGAGCAACCCCTGTGCTTCTCTTCATTTCCTTTCTCTCTGCCTGGGGTGCTGGCCACACTCCTCCAGTCCCAGGCTGTCATTACTCTGTCCCTGGCAGCTTCTCTCTGCTGTGGACTCCACACACAAAGCCCCCGTGACTGCCAGCAGGGTGGGGAGCAGGGGCTGCAGGTGGAGAGGACTGGGTTCAGCTCCGAGGCTGGACGTGCTCGGCTGCCAAGGTCCCTCTCCCAGGCCAACCTTGACCTTGTCCTGCCTTTGTCTTGGGAGTCGGCTGCTGCCCATCAATTTCTGCTCACTGTCTCCTTCTCACTGACAGGGGATGGACGCCGGGCACTGAGCTTCTTCCACAAGAAGGGCCTCCAGGACTTTGACACTCTGCTCCTGAGTGGTGATGAGAACACTCTCTATGTGGGAGCTAAAGAGGCCATTCTGGCCTTGAATATCGAGGATCCAGGAGTTCCGAAGCTGAGGAACATGGTGAGGATGTTGGGGGTGCGCTGGAAGGGTGCCCGCAGCTGCCCCGCACTGGGGCTGCCCGCGGATGAATAACACCCCAATGGCCATTAGTGCCATCAGCAGTAAGCAGCCATTCTTGTTTTATAAATATATATCTTGACAGTATAACAGACAGGAAATGTTATTGTGACCTCATTTATTATCACAAATATTGGTTGAATGATATCAACTGTTAAAATGGCTGGTCTGGAAATCATTGACATAGAAGATAAACATTGACTCAAATCATATCAATAATTTGATATCCACCCACAGAAGCTTCAGGGAGGGAGAGAGGAACAGGAAGGAAGGAAGAGAGGGTGTTAGCAATCACTGGTCAATTCCATGGTGTAGTCTGAGTGTGGCCTGTCGTCCACTTGCATCTATGTGATGCTGGCAAAAAACACCAATTTTCTGAGGTGTGTCCCAGGAACAGATGCTTTAACAATGGCTCCGGGAAATGTGTGACCTGACAACTGTTGCCGTATATATGATGCTTTGCACTGGGTGTTTATGTAGACTACCTGGGGTGTCCATCCGCACGCAGCCTGTGACATTGACCAAGATCACTTAGTAAGTGCTAGAGCCTCCATGGGAACTCAGGTTTGTCTGATTTCTTAGGCAATGTCCTGCCATGGACCTGGGTCCTGGCGAATATTAGTATCAACAGGTTAATAGCCCTGATCACAAATAGATGTTGTTATGGTCCATTAGCATGTGATTATCCACCATGCCTACTGGCAGTCTCATGCCAGATCTGAGAAGGGGATGGCAGGGCACAGAAGAGCTAAAGACCCCATTTCCCTTGGYCTCCTCTTCCCAACTCTCTATTTCAGATACCTTGGCCAGCCAGTGACAGAAAAAAGAGTGAATGTGCCTTTAAGAAGACTAATGAGGTAAGTGGAGGTGGGGACATGGTGGCTCTGGGTAGAGAACCCCAGTATCCCTAAGGCCATCATGGGATGACCTTAGATGGAAGTGAGCCTCTGGGGGTCCAGGAGTTTGGGGAAAGGGTCTGGAGGACTGATTCTCTGTCTCCCCCAGACACAGTGTTTCAACTTCATCCGTGTCCTGGTCTCTTTCAACGCCACGCACCTCTACGCCTGTGGCACCTTTGCCTTCAGCCCAGCTTGCACCTTCATTGTGAGTCAGCTGACACCCAGCACACAGGCCCCCGAACGTCACTTCTCACACCTACCCCAGCCTGTCCTCTGTAGCTCTGGAAAACTCTGGTCCCTTAGGACCCTCATGGGCTTCCTGGCCCCAGACAAATTCCCCTGTCGGTCCCTCTCCCTTCCTCCTCATGCCCCTCATTTCCCAGATGTGAGACCCTGGCATTCTGGGCCCCCAGCCTCTCTCCCCCTCTAGGGACTCCAAGATTCCAACCTGTTACCCATCTCAGACAAGGTCATGGAAGGGAAAGGCCAAAGCCCCTTTGACCCTGCTCACAAGAACACAGCTGTCTTAGTGGGTGAGTGTCAGGCCTCCTGGTCCATCCCAACATCTGCCTTTTCTAGTCACTGTAAAATATGGAATATGACAGAGAGGTGACCCAGGAGCCTCAGAACCCAAGATTTAGAGGAGAATCAGGCGTCTCAACCACCAACTCCTACTGGAACTGCCATAAGGAGATGGAGGGAGACAGGGAGATGTGGAGAGAAAAGAAGCAAGACACCTGGGAAAGGTGTCAGGCAGAGAAGAGAACTGGGTTCAGTCATTGTTCAACAAATGTGTACGTGTGCAGACATCTCCTCTGGTGGGCCAGACATGGGGCTGGGTATTAAAGCGGTTACAAAGAAGAAATCATGGCCCGATGCCTTCCCAGACACAAACCATTATAGTCTTCCCACTCTGGCTTCCTGGAGGAGGTGGCCTTTGACTTCTGAGCAGGACTTGAGAAAGATATCAGGTAGAGGGACACAGAAGGTGTTCCAGGAAGAGAAAGGGAGGACCCAAGGTGTGCAAGCAGAAGATGCAGTCACCCTCTGAGATCAGTGAATGCAAGTGGTTCAGCTGGTATGTGAGGGAGTAAGCAGAGAAAGGCTGGAAGAGTGCCCAAACACAAAAGGTGACTCCGGTTATTTCCTGTGGAAAGGGGCGCCTAAAAAACGTGTCTGGTGTGTGCATGCCGGGTGTGGGTGTGTGTTAGCTGGGTCTGGGGGCTCTGCAGGAAGATGTAGGAAGATTAAAGGGGCCAAGCTGGCCCCAGTCATAGGCAGGGCAGGGCACCCTCCGTCTGCTAAGTTCTCCTCTCCTCCCCATCCTCGGGCCCTAGATGGGATGCTCTATTCTGGCACGATGAACAACTTCCTGGGCAGTGAGCCCATCCTGATGCGCACGCTGGGCTCGCAGCCTGTCCTCAAGACTGACACCTTCCTCCGCTGGCTGCACCGTAAGGATCTGACTTCCAGCCAGCATGGGTCTGGCCCCTTTCCAAGTCTGGGAGACCATGCACTGAGTTGTTAATTCAGTGCACACTATGCGTGCATACTAAGAGTAGGTGCATTACTCTTAGGCACGGGGGGGGGGGGGGGGGGGGGGTTCGCAGGGAAGAAGACAGACCTCCAGTTCTCATGAGGTTTTCATCTCATGTAAATAAATTAAAGAGGCAGCGCGCACGCACACACCATCCCAAGCTGTGGGATCTGAGGCAGCCCGTGTCCTGGACCCCAGAACCAACCCAAGGGCTTTCACCAAGGGAGAACCCCGGCCATCAAGGTGCTCACCCCTAATCCCATTTTGCTCCCCCCCCCCCCCGCAGCGGACGCCTCCTTCGTGGCAGCCATCCCTTCGACTGAGGTCGTCTACTTCTTCTTTGAGGAGACAGCCAGCGAGTTCGAATTCTTTGAGAAGCTCCACACCTCCCGGGTGGCTAGAGTCTGCAAGGTCTGCTGCCTGGGCGGGAGGCGGGTCTGTCCGCGGGGGAGCCAATGGGGAGGTAGCAGAGGCGGGGCGGAGTTCCGGAGGCCCAATGGGAGGGCTGGTGGGCGGGGCCGAGGCGCCCCCTGACGGCTTGCGCGCCCGCAGAATGACGTGGGCGGTGAAAAGCTGCTGCAGAAGAAATGGACCACTTTCCTGAAGGCCCAGCTGCTCTGCACCCAACCCGGGCAGCTGCCCTTCAACGTCATCCGCCACGCGGTTCTACTGCCCGCCGATTCTCCCTCCGTTCCCCACATCTACGCAGTCTTCACCTCCCAGTGGTGAGCCGGAGGGCGGGAATACCTGGGCTAGGAGAACRTCTGTGGCCGTGGCTCCCTGGCTCTCGGAAAGGAGACAGGAACCGATGTGCAATGCACTTTGCATAGAAAGGCATTTGGTTGTCACGGCCTCCCCGGAATTCCACTCATGTCCTTCACATAGATGGGAAAAATAAAGCTCAGAGAGGCTCCGACTAGCTTATATTCTAACTGGCTCTGAAAAACAAACATGTTAAAATCAAGAAAATAGACAAGAAAATAGGAAGAAATGGGAGAATACAAGACGCTAAATAAAAATTTAGGCTGGGCGCAGTGGCGCCCGTCTTTAATCCCAGCGGCTCGGGAGGCCGAGACAGGAGGATCTCCAGTTCAAAGCCAGCCTCAGTAGTGGTGAGGGGCTGAGGAACTTAGTAAGACTCTGCCTCTAAAGAAAATACAAAAAGGGCTGGGGATGTGGCTCAGTGGTCCAGTGCCCCTGAGTTCAATCCCAGGTACTCCCCTTCCCCCAAATGCATGTGGATTAAATAAATTGTTAAATATATTAAAGTAAAATGATTTAAAAAATATAAATAAATAAATAAATAAATAGACAGACAGAAAAAGAAAGGAAAAAGGAAAAAAGAAGAAGAAGCTGTAGCAGCTAGAGTTAAGGCCAGTACATTACAAATGCTTTCCATAAGACATTGTATAGTCCCTAGCTGTCAATCACAAATTTATCTCTGAGATTCCTAATGGCCAGGGCAAAGAGGGAAACACCATCAGTATTATTAGAGAAAAATAAAGTCTTTGCTTAGAGGCTGAGAACTGTTAACTGATTTTTCCAAAGTCTCTCAGCCAGGTCAGACCCCACAGTGTTTAGTGGGGTCAGACAACCACACTAGGGACACTGTGTTAAATACCAGAGTTATCTGGTGTAAACAGGGTCTGGTATCCATGAGATCTAAGCTAAGGACTTGGTGTGTACCATGGTCAGGTTAAGAGAGAAAGAGAGAGCTGGGTGAGGTGGCAGGTGCCTGTAATCCCAGTGACTCGGGATGCTAAGGCAGGAGGATTGCAAGTTTTTGAGGCCAGCCTCAGCAATTAAAGTTGCCCTAAGCAACTGGCAAGACCCTGTCTCAAAATTTAAAAATTAAAAACATAAAAGAGGGCTGGGGATGTAACTCTGAGGTAAAGTAGACTAAATCCTCAGTAGAGAGAGAGAGAGAAAGAGAGAAAGAGAAAGAATCTTCTGTCTCCATAGACTACAAATGAAGGGATAAAATACTCAAAATACTCTGATAGTCAGGCTGTAGTAGATTCTCCGAGAACCGAGAATCCCAGGGACCCAAAGAAGAGAGCTTCATGTGGGAGCCCTGATTTTCCCAAGGTCTGGAGCTGCTTGTTCTGCCTTTGCTATGGGGATAGCCAGCCTAGCAAGATAGGCAGGAGCCACCCCAGGGACTGTGCCCCAATTAATTCTCATTAAGCATAATCACATTTCAGATTCTAAGATGGGCCTAGAGCCAGGCTGTGGGCTAGACTCAGGGAACTCCATGGGGCTCTCCCGACCCTTATCACCATTGCAAGGGGAAGAAGAGGCAGTTGGAGGTTTGCCCAGTGCTTCACGCTCATGCCACYCTCTCCCTGAGGGTGGGCCAGGGCTGGAGGGGTTGCTGATTTGAACAGCAGAGAAAACCACAGATAGTATCTAACCTCTCTGGCTGTCTTCAGGCAGGTCGGCGGGACCAGGAGTTCAGCAGTGTGTGCCTTCTCTCTCCTGGATATTGAGAACGTCTTTAAGGGGAAGTACAAGGAGTTAAACAAAGAAACTTCACGCTGGACTACTTATAGTGACAGTGAGATCACCCCCCGCCCAGGCAGCGTGAGTAAATTCTACCCCTGAGCAAAGCCCCTACAAAGAGGCATGGATATAATGTGTGTGCAGAAGCAACTGTCCTACSGTGGGAAGTGCCCAGTAACTAAGTTATACCTACCAGTCCTGTCTGGAGCTGGGTCGGTTTCTTACAAATGCTGACGTTGGCCCATTTATATTCTACCTAGCCCAGCTGCCCACACCCCACAGGTGTCCGATGCCATCCTACATCCAGCACAGTTGCTAGGCACCTCCTCTCCAAGACTAAGTGCACACCAAATATCTGGATGTTAAGGCAGATATATGGGCTGTGTGTCAGACTGGCTTGGGCATCTTCACCTGCATTTCTTATGTGATTTTCTTTAAAATCAGAGTTATATATAACTAATTTAAAAAGTCAAAACGATCTACAGAATTGGTTCCAAAAAACAGCCCTATCTGGGCATGGTGGCACATGCCTATAATCCTAGCTGCTGGGGAGGCTGATACAGGAGGATGGCAAGTTGAAGGCCAGCCTGGGTAATTTTGTGAGACCTGGGAAACTTACTACATGGCTCAACTGTGAGAAATAGCATGCATAATATAATATTAGTCTACCAGGCACAGTGGTGCATGCCTGTATTCCCAGCAACTCAGGAGGCTGAGGCAGGAGGATCTTGAATTCAAAGCCAGCCTCAGCAACATAGCAAGGCCCTAAGCAACTTAGCAAGTTCCTATCTCTAAATAAAAAATAAAAAGTGCTGGGGATATGACTTAGTGGTTAAGCGCCCCTGGGTTAAATCCTTGGAGTGTGCACACACACAGACAATATATATATATGTGTGTGTGTATATACACACACATATATATATATAACATATAAAATAATATATATGTAACATAAAATGATTATTTTTGCCTTTTTGCATACATTTTGATTCTCCTGAGGTTAGTAATTATCTTTTTTAAACTAAATCATTTATTTATTCTAATTTGTTATATATGACGGCAGAATGCAATTCAATTTATATTACACATATGGAGCACAATTTTTCAAGTCTCTGGTTGTACATAAAGTACTTTTACACCATTCATGTCTTCTTACACGTACTTAGGGTAATGATGTCCATCTCATTCCACCGTCTTTCCTACCCCCATGCCCCCTCTCTTCTCCTCCCTCCCCTCTGCACTATCGAAAGTTCCTCCATTCCTCCCATGCTCCCCCCCATCCCCATTATGAATCATTATCCTCAGATCAAAGAAAACATTCAGCCTTTGGTTTTTTGGGATTGGCTAACTTCACTTAGCATAATATTCTCCAAATCCATCCATTTACCTGCAAATGCCATTATTTTGTTCTCTTTTAATGCTGAGTAATATTCCATTGTGTATACACACCACAGTTTCCCTATCCACTCATCTACTGAAGGGCATGCAAATTGGGGCAGCCAATCTGGAAACACTATGGAGTTTCCTTGGAAAACTGGGAATGGAACCACCATTTGACCCAGCTACCCCACTCCTCAGTTTTATACCCAAAGGACTTAAAAACAGCACACTACAGGGACACAGCCACATCAATGTTGATAGCAGCACAATTCACAACAGCTAAACTGTGGAATAATTATCTTTTTTTTTTTTTCCCTGCTTGCTTTGTTTTCTAAGTTCTTATCTCTCCTTCAACCTCAGACTTCTTCTGAATTATCTGAATATCTCTGAAGACAGACCTGTTAGCTATTTAGCAGTTTCATGTTCCTGGAGAGCTTCACATCTACCCCTGTCTAGACAGGTGCCCCTTTGCAATCCTGGAGTCCCCCTTTGTCATCATCCTGGGGATTCCCTGGGCATCTTCCTGACACATACTGTGATTGTGTTTTTTGCATTCCGTGGCTTCCTCTTTTTTTTTTTTTTGTACCAGAGATTGAACAACCAGGGCCACTTTACCACTGAGCCACATTCCCAGTCCTATTTATTTATTTATTTATAATTTTAAGACAGGGTCTCACTCAGTTGTTGAGGGTCTCTCTGAATTGCTGAAACTGGTCTTGCATTTGCAATCTGCCTGCCATGGCCTCCCCAGTTGTTGGGATTATGGGCATGTACCACCACACCCCCCTAAATTAAATATTGTTAAAGAGGAGGCCCTAGGTTTAATCTCTGACACTGAAAAAAAAAAA